TGCACAATGCTAATATTTTTTTAAATAATGCATAAAAGCTACAATAAATCAATAAAGAAAACATTACACACATTACCATGTATTTGACGCACACACGCATACTATTTATTTACAAACTTTTGTTCTTAACGTCTGTTGTCAAATTGAGAATAGATCAAATATTGTTTGTCTTTATTAATATTTGTCTATAGTGTAGTCTTGGCGAAATTCGTGATTATAGGAGTATAATAGTCTTTGAAAATAGAATCTTAATAGTTTACAAACTTATAATTTCGATTAATTATAGTCGAATTTCGACTACCGGGCCACCACTAGTACATATAATTCATCCAACCAATAGTGTCTATGAAACCAGTATAAGCGACGTAAATAAAACTAGGGTATTCCGTAAACACTCAGAATACATTCCTCCCTGCACTACGAGAGCACAAGTGCATGAGGGGTGCATTTCAAAGCCTTCAATTTGTCCTGGCCGTAATTAGATACGACACTCTCACAGCGCCGTACCCGGAGATGAATTAAGTAAATTTAATTAAAACGTATGCACGTCGTATGTGACCTGCTTCAAGCGGCAAATATAGAAAATGAAAAATCTTAAATTGAATATTTCGCTTTAAAAGGCACCGATACATATTGATTTTATTTTCACAAACCTTTCGGGGTCGAAAAGTTTGATCGGGTTAAAATTTTACCACCGGTTTGACGTCTAACTCTCTTTAGCTATGATAGAACTTGCATTGGAAAATCTAGACAAAAATTTATAGGACGATTAAACTTGTTTAAGAATTCTATCATCAAGCACGGAAGGTACTAAGGGTAATTTATCCTTTGCTTTTCTCAACAAAAGTAGGGCAGTTAGAGAGTTCACAGTCCACCGGAGATGCCGAGTTTGGGGGCTCAGCGATAACAAGTACTTTTCTAGTCTAAGAGCTAATTATTATTATCATCATATAATCTACGTTAATGTAACACAATAAAGCTTCCCACTATCTAATCATTACATTATTCCCTTGATTTTTTACTAATCCCAGGCTTGCCGAGGAGAATTTATCTCAAAGCATTATCCAATTCAGTATGAGATTTTGCTTTCGTGTCCTATTGCTCAAGATGCTTTGCGTACGATAACACCGGTATACATATATGTGGTGCAGTATTTTTGCAAAATAGATTAACATGCTTTCTCGCGAGACTAAACCAGACATCGCAGAATTAATTAATTTGTGTTTCGTTTTGAACAATAGTGTCAATGTCATTTAAAGCCAGGGCCTAAAGGACAGAGTTTTTGCTGGGCCTTTCTTAGGATTTTCAAAAATTAAATTGCACTTGCAAAGGATGCTCGCGAACTTCGAGTCTCATACGTAGCCTCGGGTAAGTAACAAGGCTCTTCAAAAAGTTTTAAATGTAAAAAAAACAATCGTTCTTATCACGGAATAGATTTATCAATAGATTTATCTATTCCGTAGTTGTAGTCGATGCTTTCACACGTGGTGTATCCGATTGACTGGCAATAATTGTTGGCACCTCAGAAAAGTTTTTTTTTTATTACGGTATGTACTATTTCATTCAAAACGTGAATGACTAGTTTCAACAAATAATAAACTATTTCATGACAGAACTTGGATTTTTTTCCCTACCTATGCCTTGAGCCTTGAGAGGATATTTCACCTTCGCCCTAACGTGTGCAGGTGAGCTCACGGGGCTCAAACCGTAGTGTTGCTAACACTGGCCCTAGCAAGAGCAGTGCTTCGCAGAATCTACCACCGGATCGGAAACGCGACCCACTGAGAAGATCCGGCGAGAAACTCAGTGGGCTGTGTCTGTGGGTTAATTCGCTCGTCGAACCCTTCGTCGCAAGCGACGGTTTCGACGAGGACGGTGACCGGTGCTTATGGTTCCTAAAAGCACCGTTAATGGATCGCAACTTGGATGACTTTTACTAATAAAGCAAAATACCAAAACAAATATTTACAAAATTTAATACTTTCACACGAATTACATACACAATCTCATATCAAAAACTTGCATAAATTATATTCTTATTATAAAACATACTTAATACACTTCAGTCATTTTATTCAATATAGTTAATAAACACACACAAAACTGTCAAAACTGGCACTTTAGTGCACAACTATACTAACATAGAAAAATATATCTACTTCGTTCCTTAGTGCAAGTTATTGTTAATCAATTCATATTAGTGGCGCGTTACACTAGACTTTTCTAGAATATAAGTAAGGTACATACAAATATTGAATAAAAATACATTGAAATTATAAAGAAAGTATTCAATAACACAGAAGTTTGCTTGTATACAAGATAAAAGATATCAAATAACGCTAGTAAACGCTACAAACTGAGTATGATATATGTATGTATTAAGATGCTTGCAGTTCAACTAGTAAGAATATTATAGGCCACGTAGATTAGCTTTCCAGTGAATGTTGGAAATCTTAGTGTCAAATTGCTATTTTTGACAAACTAGAGACCAATATTGCTGACAAGCTGTCAATATATATTGCTGACAAACTAGAGACTGGTATTGCTGACAAGCTGTCAACAGATATTACTGACAAAATATGACTCGTGAACACTGATAAATAAAGGTTACGTTGCATTAATGAGCAACTGCAATAAAATGCTTTATTTATTTATTTCTGTGTATTTCGCATCTCTATAATAGGAAAAACGTTTGAGTATTAAATTCATTCCACGGTCATAAATATACTCTTCATACTTTTCTGAATGGTTTGACAGTTAGATGTAAGAAAGTGATTCTTTTATCTTGCAACACACTTACACAATCGTATTTTTTTTATCAAAAAATAACTCTACGAAACACGTTGTTGCCGCGTTAAAAAAACAAGTTTACAAATTATTGAAACTCTGAATTATAAAGTTTAAAGCCATCATAAAAATTACAATATAATATTTAAAAAAAAAAGTTTTATTTTATAACTAACAATAATGGATAATTAAGTATGTTGTATTATTTTCAGTGACATACAAAAACAGTTTTATTTTTAGTTCTCGGTCTTCGATTCTTTGAGACAAACTTGACACAAAGTGGATGTCCAATTTTGCATTTTTTTTTTATTTGCTTATATGGGTGAACGAGCTCACAGCCCACCTGGTGTTAAGTGGTTACTGGAGCCCATAGACATCCCACCTTGAGATATTCTTGAGATATAAGTTCTAAGGTCTCAAGTATAGTTACAAGATACGACATGGGCGTCAAGTAACGACAAAATCAGACATCGCGTAAATTAAACTGGGGTACACGTCCAAACGTGTTTACGGGGCGCAAGGAAACCGCTCACAAGAACGAGAATGCTATGACAGTACTGATAATCCTGAGACGGTAATATAATATTCCTGCGATCAGCTGACGCTCGAGGTCAACGACCGTGCGTTAACCTAGCGGGAAGCGTCACACGAGCGGTCGGCACTTCAATTTAACGGTCTTATTCATTATTAGATATCCGAGCTTTGTAAACTCGTTCTATGAGTATTGACCGGGTCGAATTATCCGTATGATTTTATACATTTAAATGAAAAACTACCGAATCTCGGTCACGCCTACCGCTGATTTCTATAAAAAACTGATTTCTTGAAAGTATTCCCAGGTCACCACCTGTTATCAGTTGATGGTACTGTGAAGGAAACACAACAGTAATTTTCCAAGTTTCGTTGCAATCACATGAATATTTTTGCAACACATAGAGGACAAACCAATATACAAATAATTATTAAGTTTTATTTATAGTACTAGAAGATTATTAGCCTATTAGAAGACAGATAACGCTTTTTGTCATGATTATTACAACGGGTTTATAAAGCTCTTAAACACATTATGAGTAAGAGTTTATAGACCTCAAAGTTTTGTTCGATTGTATATTATTCAAAATTACTCAAAATGATAAGTTTTGCTTTGGAATAACAAATGAAATTTCGGTTTTCTTATCGTCTCAAAACACGGCCTTGATAAAACTAAGTATCGAAGCGTATTTTGAGTACAACAAACTTTCTCCATTAAATTAATATTTAGTGTGAAAATGAATAACGTTGTTTTAAGTCACTTTTTCATAAAAAAAAAAGCGTTAAAGTATACAAGATTTAATATTTGTTGATCAAAATGATTGGTGTTCAGAGCTGAAACGAAGGGAGCTTCTCAATTTACTGGAGATAGGATGTGCCACGGAGACTACCCGAGAATGTACCGCTGCCCTCGTCGCGAGGCAGTGGGAGGGTCCAGTCGCGAGGGCAGGGCAGGCGCCTACTTCGACAAAGCGGCGCGACGTGATAATCCTCTTATTACGTATATACGTTTTTTTTTATTGCTCGTGTAGGCAGACGAGCATACGGCCCACCTGAAGGTGAGTGGTTGGTGCGAGCTGGTTGATCCGGTAACAAAATTGTTTTTATCACTTCCGTAAAAAAATTAATATTACAAATCGAATAGTTATCGTCGAATACAAATCGAATATAAATAATAATTAATGTATGTTTGTCCGAATCCACTGGATTGCATTGTAAAAGTTTCAGCATCAACATTCGGGATAGGTCACCGTCTCAGTACCATCAACGAATTCGTTTACAATCGTTTACTACTAACTCACCTTTTAAGAGTCATCGCTTTGTTTTCGAGTAATTCCCTTGCAAAATGTTTTGAGGTAAGTTCTTGAGAAATAAATAATAGTTTAAAAAAACTAACAAAATACGCCTTTATAGAAAATTCAACTAAAAAATAGAAAAAAATCTTTTTCATTTTTTAGTTGAATTTTAATTTTTTTAATTTTTTTTCAATTTTATTTTTAAATATTGAATTGTCATCGGTCCTTAATAAGTATACCAAATTTCGAGTTAATCCGACGTTTTGAAGGGGGTCAAAATCATGTTCAAAGATTCCGTTACAAACATACATACATACGTCTGAAGCTAATAAAAGCGTATTATAAGAACTGCCCATATATGGTTATCTATATGATTCGACTCAAAAACTCAACGTGTGAAGGCAGTTTAGTAATTACACAATTAACATACAACACATACACAGTACAACGTCTTCATTATACCGTGGTGCTCCGTTCACTTCCTGGCGGCGAGGGCGGGCGGCCTGGAGTAGGGGTGGTTCTGCACGCGCTCCCTCGCGCGGACGGCTTTGAAACCAACTGACTTTTGAGTGACATTCGTCTTTGTACGAGACGCGTCTGTTAGTTTGTTAGTCGACGGCACACGACGGCACAGGATACACGACGGCACAGGACACACGACGGCACAGGGCACACGACGGCACAGGGCACGGGAGGACACAAGACGGCACAGGACACAGGACGGCACAGAACAACACAAACATGAAAAACAAATGGTTAGTTGTCGTTAGATTTTACGTTCAGTCGCGTCAAACAGTTTCGTAAGCTTTCAAACGAGCATTAGAATTCAAAAGAGTATCTTAATTCATTAATAGTATTTTAAGGGTGTGTTCATTATGTGAGAGACGGTCATGTAAAACATTTTACTACTCCTATAGTGAGTTGATTTGCTTGTATTTTTATTAGGTCTATCCACAAAGTATATAAAAAAAAAATTAATAAAATGTTTAAATAAAAATTAAAATTTAACTAATGAAATGTTCCTGATATTAACATATAATTTTATTTTTTTTATTGCTTAGATGGTTGGACGAGCTCACAGCCCATCTGGTGTTAAGTGGTTACTGGAGCCCATAGACATCTACAGCGTAAATGCGCCACCCACCTTGAGATAAGTTCTAAGGTCTCAGTATAGTTACAACGGCTGCCCCACCCTTCAAACCGAAACGCATTACAGTTTCACGGCAGAAATAGGTAGGGTGGTGGTACCTACACACGCGGACTCACAAGAGGTCTTACCACCAACAAAAACTATACTATCATTTTATAGAAATTAACCTAGCCGTACTAGCCAGGTTAAACACAATGACCGAAATCTTCGTCATTTATTTTAACATTTACCTTGCACGTTCCTCTGCAGCGGAGTTCCGTCGCGGGACAGGCTGGACCCGAAGCCGGGCCCCCGCGGCGCGCCGGGCTGCGGGCCGGGCCGCCGGAACGGNGTCCTACCACCAACAAAAACTATACTATCATTTTATAGAAATTAACCTAGCCGTACTAGCCAGGTTAAACACAATGACCGAAATCTTCGTCATTTATTTTAACATTTACCTTGCACGTTCCTCTGCAGCGGAGTTCCGTCGCGGGACAGGCTGGACCCGAAGCCGGGCCCCCGCGGCGCGCCGGGCTGCGGGCCGGGCCGCCGGAACGGCATCGCTTTACCCACTACGGGTTTCACTAGCTTAGCTGCTGACAGACATTACCATTTTACTCTGTTTTTACTAGTCCACGTTTTAAAATAGAATTCATAATAACTTTGTAACTCGAAAAAATATTAGATTCATTAAATATACATAATTCAAAAACAATGCTAAAATAAATATTAAGAAAAAGTCTTATAGTACTGTTACGTCGGTAAGAGTAACGCCATCTATCGCCGAATAGCCGAAACGAATATCAAAGGATCTAGTAACAACTAGAACGCTCGAGATGTACAACGCCATCTCTTGTCAGATAGCGGAAACGCACATCGAAAATACTCGACTTGTATGACTCGAGGAATGTTCTCGATAAATTTAGGGATGTCGTATCGACTATAAAAGCGTTGCAGATATGGCACGAGTGATTTAGTAATCGGAACTACTCGGAGCGAAACAGTGAACGGATCACCCGAAGCGAAGCGGAAGAAGTGAATTAAGAATTTTAAAGTGTTCTGTGAGTGTTCTAAGTGATAAATATAGTTTTAAGTTGTACTCTGGTGAAACGTTTATTTATCCCGAAACGCAGCGTGCAACAGTTCTTGCGGATACTTGCGAACAACAGATGTTCGCAGAGTCGTAACTCATAAAAAACTTGTCATCTCACCCTTATCACCGAAGTTAATTGTCCTTTGTATAGTATTGGTCCTATCCACGAGTCCTCTCTTGACTGGTTGTATTTCCACTTTTGATTCGGTCTTGATTGGTTTCCTCAATGCGTCCATTTTACCCGCCAACACAAAGGTAGAATTCAAATCGTTAGGATCTACTACGTTGTAGTTTTCAATATCAGGAGCAATGTCAAATTCTTTCTCCCTTTTGATTTTCTTGGCTGAGTTAAGATTTCTGGTCGCATCCAAACTTTCAAAGGAGTCATTAATTAATATGGTTTCATTATTTGGCAGTTTAATTGGCGTCCCTTTACGTTTAAGAACTTTAATCGGCTCTCTGTTTTCAATGTCGGTCAAATCATCACTGTCTGTCATTATGTCTATGGTCATGTTGCCTTCATCCTTCTTGTCATAGTCTATGGCGGTTGTTGGCTTCTGTATATCTAGGCTCGATATGAATTTGAAATTAGAATCGATTTCACTGTCTTTGTCAGACCATGTGATGGCCTTAGCTAATTTCGCTTTTTTCATTATTTCTATATATTCAGCAGTCAAAGCCGGGGGTGCTTTGTCATAGCCTTTTAATGTTAGATATAATTTCTTAAGCATGCTTGGCATTTCGCTCATATATTCAGTGAAGGCATTGATTTCTTCATTTTCAATGGACAATAATTTGTATCTGAGGTTATCTCTAGCCTTTATATGTCTAAGTTCACTCTTTAAATGTATGTTTTCTACGAAATCGGCTAATTCAGTGAAGTCAGATACAGCTTGATTGCAAACTACATGTAGTCTCTTGCGACTGTCATCCCATTTAGTCCAAGTCGACATTATCTGAGAATCTAAATGCACCGTTTGTTTTATGTAGCTTTCAGCTGCTCTTTCTTGCCTCGGTATATCTTCATTGCAAACCTGAATTAATAAATTTGTATTCAAGTTGAATCAAAACGGAAATACCTTAGGAATACCAGCATAAGTCTAGTTAAGCGCTTACAATATAGAATTTTGAATATTTGAACAAATTTTGAAAATGAACATTATTATCTTGGGCTTCTTTTTCAAAATGTTATGTTTATGTGTCGGATTTAAGGAATTCTACGGCCCATTCCAGTTTCCCAAATTATATGTATAATGACATTGAATCCTACTCAGATTTCAAATCCAAAATTAATATTATTTGTTTTTACCTGTTCCATTGCCTCGTAGGAGGATCGATGCGCTAAATCGGCGACATGCGAGAATGCTCTGGTCCGTAAACGCTGTCGCAAGGCCAGCACGCGTTGTCTCGACATCAAGTTCAATAATTCGGTCTCCAATGAAGCATGAACAGAATCGCAGTCAATGATACGACGCCGCCATTCTTTTATCGCTGTATTTTTAATATAAAAAAATAAATTATAAAAATAAACATGCCACAATCTGTTATTTTTTATTAATTTAGCTTATATGAAGAGCTTGAAGCCTATCTGGTGTTAGGTGATTACTTACGCTCACATTCAACAGAATTTACTGGTGGTAGGACCTCTTGTGAGTCCGCGCGGGTAGGTACCACCACCCTGCCTATTTCTGCCGTGAAGCAGTAATGCGTTTCGGTTTGAAGGGTGGGGCAGCCATTGTAACTATACTGAGATCTTAGAACTTATATCTCAAGGTAGGTGGCGCATTTACGTTGTAGATGTCCATGGGCTCGAGTAACCATTTAACACCAGGTGGGCTGTGAGCTCGTCCACCCATCTAAGCAATAAAAAAAAACAATGTGAATGCAACTGATATTTGATAAAATCTCAGTTGCCTGAGTCCAAAATATTACATACCAATTACATATGTTTGAATGATGTACCATGAACTGCACCACATACTACTACTACTTTACATAGTGTTGTCAAAACACTAGAATGGATTTATTGGTAGATAAAAACGAATTGGCAGTTAACAAGAAATGACAAATTTTTAATCAAATAAAATATTTCTCATTTTTACCTTTCTCCTTCACTATGTCAGGTTCTTTTGACACATTCTTAACGCTAGACAAAGACAACTTGGCTTCCAACTCTTTTACTTTCTTTTTCAATTCTTCATTAATCTTCACATATTGTGACAAGCGCATGTCACCGTCAACAATGTTCTGTTTAAAAAAGAAAAATACTTTTTAAAACACTTGTGAATTATGGCTACAGCTATACAAGACGCGGTAGGATAGCTAGGAGAATAACGGACGATAGAATTTCTAAAAGATATGGATAACATATCAAAAGTAATGAACAATAACACATTATTATTTTAAAGTTTGATCAAAGATATATTCTAGATAAGAATAAATTTAGGATCTGAAACGGTCCAAGAACGTTAGGTGGAATCAATAGATGTGTGGACGAGCTCACTGCCCACCTGGTGTTAAATGGTTAGCAGAGCCCATAGAATTCAACAATCTAAATACCAACATCTACATAGTTATATAGTACAATACGTGAAGCAGCAGTAGCCTTTAAGCTGAAACGCATAACTGCTTCACGGCAGAAATAGGCAGGGTAGTGGTACCTACTTGTGTAGACTAATAAGACGTCCTACCACCAGTTATTATGCAAATTATAATTTTGTGGGTTTGATTTTTATTACACTATGTTATTCCTCAATTGTGGCAATCAGTCATGAACATTTGTTAAGTACGTATTTCATTAGAAAAGTTGGTACATGCCTGCAGATTCGAACACTGGTACAGTCACATCGCTTCATACGAATGCACTGAGAGACTTAACCTTTAGGCTATGACGACTTCAATTCTTATAAAATATATGGGCTTCATCAAATATGAAGGGAATACAGATAGGGTAATAAATATTTACCTTCTTAATACTGAGCTGAATCTTATTAGCTCTAGCTGCATACTTGAGAGTATTGTATGAATCTTCGTAACTGACACTTGACGGAGATACATTTGCTATCATCACCGTTTTACAGTTACCACCTAGGCTGTCCTTTAGCAACCGAGTTAATTTTGAGTCTCTAAAAAAGATAATTATTTAAACTCGACTCATGTTGATCAACTATCCTAAAGGAACAACCTATTTGCAATGTATAATCAGCAAATTCAGAAATAAAGTATCAGCATTCCTATAAATTTCTAATAATGAATCTGCATTCAATTATGGGGTCACCACATTTCTACTCAACAAAAATAGGTGATTCAATGCATTACAGTTGCTTTTGGGCTTCTCCTATTATTGTAAGTTTTTGGCCTAATTTTGGCCAACTGACTCTAATGGCATGTTAAGTAAGAGCAGAATTTTCAGTTATAAACAATTAATTATAATCTACCTGTACGGAATATAGTTGCTTCCATCAGCTAGTTTATTAATACAATTGCCTAACGATAGCAAACTCTTGTTGATATTGGCACCTTCTTTGAACCTCTCTCCCACGCAACCTGTAGCAGAAGCTCGCTCACTTCCAGCCAAATCAATCATTGATAGCTTAACAAGACGTAGTTGACTGCTAGTTTTGTATCTCATTTTTACATATACCTAATGACAAAATGAGAAATATTAAAAACACAAATTTACATTCTTACTGTGAAATTGAAAAAAATATTATAACAATTACTAATATATAATTGAGTTATGTACAAATTTACTAACTGACATTTTGTAACATGTTACTAATGCTCACCTGAAAAACAGCATGACTTCTTGAACTCTCAGCGTTTGCATCTGTAGGATGCTGGGTCCTGTTCTTGTTTCCATTTTCAAGCATGTTAAGGAGTTCCCTAGCTGTTTTAATATTGTTAAGTGTCAGACCGGCAACCATAACTCCATACTTTGAGTCCTCTCGAAGTTGCAAAGGAGTTTTTGAAGGTTTAAGGAGATCATATACATTTTCATTGTATACCTAAAATCCAAGTAATTATGCTTCAAACTTAATTAAAAATCAGTTATAATACAATATTTAAGAAGTTAACATTTTAACTAGATAATTTAGTGATTATTCATTTTAATTTAATTTATATATTTAAATTGTGCCTTTACAACAAAAGAGCACAATTTCCATTTTGATAAAGAAAGAGTAAAGGAAGAAAACATTAAGTAAATAAAAAGAATTTGCTCAAGACTGACTTTTAAAAATAAAAGTAGTTCACTAATAGTCCAAAGAACAACCAATATTAAGTTTTTAGCCCAGACTATTATCTTAATACTGATAACTTTGTAAGTGGTATTTTAAAAACTTACTTCAATATAAGAGACTCCTATATCGAATTCCCTCTCCTTTTCAAACTGATTAATAGTATAGAACAGATGTTCCATGGTCAGGTAAGTTATGCCAGGGTGCTCATTACTGCCGATCATAGTGAATGTCTTCCCTGCACCAGTAGCGCCATACACAAATACTGAACAATTGTAGCCTTCCATCAGAGCCGCAAGCATATCTTTCGTTGTAGTTTCAAAAACGTCCTTATTCGATGCTTCTTGACCACAAACATTATCAAAGACAAACTTCAACTCTTTATTGGCCCGTTTTAAAAAGTTTTTGTTCGGTTGCTGTACACCCTGATAGAAGAATGGCCTGATCTCTTCCTTAGGGTCAAACACTAACATTTTGTCATCTACGACATCAACAACAACGCGACTGTTGAGATCCAACTCTTTTTCGTTCAAAGGACGTACTCTCACTACAACTTTGATGTTCGCAGCCATGTTTTGTGTAGAACCGCATTTAGACGGCACTATACCACCACCAGAGCCTTTAAAACCCGTAGCGACGGGCCGCTTCTCTATTTTCACCATAATTCCAACGCACTTTATAACTTTATCATAAAATGAGATTACACTTCTAGCAATCCACACGAGTACAATCAACCGCCACTCAAACAATAACGACTTTTCTGCATCACATTCGCTCAATTGGACGAATTATTTAATTAATTTTTGACTATTTCTTCACAAACAGAAACGAAGTTTTATTAAAATTCAAAATTCTAACCGTCAAAATTTTGAATTGACATATCTGTTCTACACATTACACTAGCGCATTTTTTATTTGATACTTCTGCCTGAGCAAGCAAACGGAACTAAGTTCATTCGGTCTTGTCATTTAAAGCTGAAATGAAGTTTTAAAAAAAAGTAAAATTAAACTAAAATAAATTATAGTCAAATACAACTAATAGTGATAAGACAAAATAAAGTAATAGTCTAATGTAGTATTAATAAAATTTGCATTTGCTTGTTTTTACATTGTCTATCTCTTCGGCTCGGGAATAAAAATCTGTAGGAAACTCAATGAATTTAATTATATTCTAGACCTTCTCTCAAATCACATAATTCCATGTCTTTTTTACAATTTAATTTTATTATTATATTAATATTAATAAATTTGATTTCATTCCGGTTCTAAGTACTCTGAAAAGGTATACGGTGCAAAATCAAAGAATGATTGGTTCCTATTTAAGTAGCTCTTTTTAACCGATTTCAAATAAAGGAGGAGGTTCTCAATTCGACTGTATTTTTTTTAGGTTTGTTACCTCATAACTTTTGAGTGGTTGAATCGATTTTGATGATTCTTTTTTTATTAGAAAGCTGACGCTTCCCGTGTGGTCCCATTTCAGTCCAGTCCTGATAATGATATCCATAAGAAAACCATATAAGTCTTAAATTTGTATTAAGTATGTGCGCGACGTATAGATGAATAACTCAATAACTCAATATCACGCCAACCGATTTCGATGATTATTGTTTTTAGTGTAGGTATATGAAGGTATTTGAAGTCGGTTTTTGTTAAAGCATGTCTATTTACAATTATATTAATATAAAAAATAAACAATGTGACAAATTCACTGCCTGGAATTTTTAGTCCTGACACTTATCTTAGTTACATATGTTTGATGCTGTACAATATACAAAACTTTATCGTGATCACTTTGCTTTATTGCATACACCAAATTCTTAACCATAAATAAAAAAGGCTTTCCGCCTACGTGTGAGAGGCAGTAAGCAGTGTATTAACGTTTACCTACGTTTGCCGCCAGGGGCGCTGTTCCAACTGCATACCAATTTGAGTTAATTTTTACGCTATCGAGAACGTTAAAAAACTCGCACTAAGCACACAGACCATGTTAGAATGAAGTGAACCTCCCTCCGCCAAAGAATACTGAGCCTATGCCACCGAGGCATTGAACTACAGAAGTTTGAACTACCTACTCTACCACTTCATCATTTATCGACATAAACCTAAAAAAGAGACAAAATCGAAAGAACAACACTGAAGTTAATAGAATTTTATATAGATTCATATATACATCGCCCTCGGCTAGATAGGCACGATGTAGTCTTTATTACGACGCCATCCCTGTATAAGAAACAAATACAATTTCCTCTTAATTTCCGCTCTCGATCTTATCTGGACATAACGACAGGCTTAGCATTCAGCCGACACTCTTACTAAAACTTCGGAAATAGGAACAATTCCATTATGATTATTTGTCAGTATTCACTTTTATGTTTATTTTAAGTATTCATAAACGATGAAAGTGTAAAGATTACTATCTTATTTTGAGGTTAATCTGTTATTACAGTTAGTCATCTTATTTCTATGCCTTTAGCACATTTTATGTGCACGTGACACACAGATAAATATAATTAATTAATGTTAGAATTACTTATGAACGAGGTACATAGAAGTTTAAAATTAAATAGCGTGATAACACAATTAACTGATGTCATACATGGTTATTGGGTTCGGGGCACTAAACGCTTCACTTTCCCCGCTTTGCCTTTTCATGAGTTCTGTCGCATGCGAGGCTTGGACGTGGGTTGTTGAGTGACAGGAGGTTTTAGTCGGTTCGACTCCGACATACCCCACCCGCTATCCCCAGTGGAGAGTAGGAGTCCGGCTATTTCCTCCTGACAAAAAAAAAAGGTAGATACTTCTATCTAGGATGTTTTTGTCGGGTGTTAAAAAAAGTTAATCTTTTTCTTTTCAAAATGTTAGCCTTATATGTAGGTACCTATCAGAGAATTTAGAGGAGCCTAAAAATAAAATACAATTTCATGACATCAATATTAATTTGGATTGGATATTTAATTTTCGCAATATACCTACATACGTAATAAATCCCTTTCCAATTATTAGTTCGAATTTTAAATCACCACGCTATTCCGATCATATAATTACAGGTGGAATATTGCAATCACCTTCATAAATAATTCCGGTAGCTCGTTGATTTTTACCTTATATTTCATAACGAATTGTCAAAGGGAACGCTCGTTATAGGTACAATGGTGTTCAATTCAAAGAAAAATATAATTTCACTTTTCTCACTTCTAGAAGATTCTAGACACCCTTCAGTCGGTCCTCATCTGCGACTGCTCAGCTTAACTGGAATTTGGTATCCGAATTCAAAGACTAATATAACGCTTTTGAAACGTGCTTGTTTCTACGTCATCGTGTTATTTTTCGTCAGCCAATACCTAAAATGTATTATCAAATTTAAAATCGACTCGTTGCAGCTAATTTTAGAGTACGCGCCATTTCACATGGGCATCGTGAAGACATGCTTCTTCCAAAAAGACTACAACGTCTGGCAGGAACTGGTTTTTTTTATTTCGAAAACCGAACGAGATCAAATAGCAAAAAAAGATCCAAAAAGTATTAAAACAATGCAGAGCTACATCTCTCGTAATCGTAAAATCACATATTCGTTTTGGGCCCTAGCGTTCATCGCAAACATTGGTGTTTTTAGTAAGCCTTATCAAAATAATCAGAGCGACGTTAACGGCACTATTACCTACAATCACCTTTTCGATGGCTATACACCATTCTCAGAAGAACCACCGGGGTATTATTTTTCCATGGGAATCGAAACTATACTGGGTCATGTCGTAAGCTTCTATGTCTTGGGCTGGGACACTCTGGTTGTGTCCATAATGATATTCTTCGCCGGTCAGATGCAAATGTCTCGACTGCAATGCTCGAGGATGATAAATGGAAGCCCGGAGCGGACTCATAAAAATATAATTAAATGTCATAAATTTCACACGGATTTGATCAAGCAAGTATAATATCAAGATATACGCGTTCTTGTGTAGCACTTCAAAAACATATTAACCTTGCTAAAGTCTGTTATTTTTTTCAGATATCAAAAACAATTTAATTCGCTTATATCCCCGGTGATGTTTGTTTATTTATTCGTAAGCTCCATCAATCTTAGCGTTTGCATCGTTCAGATTGCAGAGGTATCCAACATTTCACTCTCTTGACACAAAGATTTGAAAAAATTTAATGCACTAATTCCTGGTAAATTATTATGTTATTAAAATTAATCATATACAACCATCATCACTATCACATCTCCCGCCACCGGAACAGATTTCACCGATACTATCTGAAACCGTAGTGTCCATCAACAGTACTCGTCCAGAGATATTTTTTTCCCTGTACCACCCGGCTCTGGATCCCCTCCACAATATTTCCATAGGGCTAGACAGACTATGTAGGCTCGTCTGCCTACAAAGGCAAGCAAAAAAATGCATGAAAGTACTTTCGTTTCGTCTCACTCAACTATAGACTACAGAAATTATATTTCGTGTGTGTTTAGATAGAAGACGATTTCGCCACAGTATTATCTAGCTTCATCTTCTTGCTGGCATGTTTAATACAGCTGCTACTATTCTACTGGCATAGCAATGAAGTTACGGTTCAAGTAAGTAAAAAAAACACTGAATGTTCTTAAATTTAAATTTATAAATAGCGATGTTATAATCCATCCAGCCGTCGTAATTAGTGTCAATAACAACACAAAATAACACATTTCGAATGAACTCTTCTGATTCAATAACATCGTTACCGGGATAAGGTAAATATTTATAAACGTCAATATTAAGTAATTATAATACTTCCATGTTTACTTTGCGAAAATTTAATATGATATTAAAGCATGGTTATATATCTACAGTGCTGCCGACATCCTTGAATGACAGGTTTTCTCGTCGGTCGTCACAGATTCTGATCAAACACGTTTTAGACAATTTATAATGCTACGCGATGGGGTTCGGGATAAATAAAATTCCACCAAACTACTGTATTCAAATAGTACTGTAAAACTGTATTCAAAACTTAGAACATTTAAAACACTCAATTCGCTTCTTCCGCTTCGCTTCAGGTGAACCGTTCGTTGTTTCGCTTCAAGTAGTTCCGATTACAAACTAACTGCATACCATCTCTGCAACGCTTTTATAGCCGATACCACATCCTTAGAATTATCGAGAATATTCCACACATTTCTAGTATTGTGTTTCCGCTATCTGACAATAGATGGCGTTGTACTTCTCGAGCGTTCTAGGTGCTACGAGATCCTTCAATATTCGTTCGACTATTAGGCGATAGATGGCGTTACTCTTACCGGCGTAACAATAACAACAACTTTTATAGGTTTAAATAAATTTTTAATTAACTTTTTCAAAAACCTTTTTTTTCTACTTCACACAGAGCGAACTAGTAAGCTACAGTACTTTTGAAAGTAACTGGACATCCACACAGAATAAACTACAGAAAGAAGTGGCCCTACTAGGTCTAACAACGTCCAAAACGCTGGTCTTCACAGCTGGTTCCTTCAACCATATGACCTTAGCGACTTTCATATCTGTGAGTCTAACTTTTGAACTTTTTGAACTAATTGATGTAGATCGACAATCCAGCACTGCGACCATGATTGATTTTGGAATCCATAGACACCATAACTTGAATACCACCGTTCTCGTCATTGTAACACAACTAAAATATCAGCTGACGCACGAGTTCAACGAACCTCGTGTAAGGGTAGCCGCCGTCTCTGGGTAGCTGACGTCTCTTTGGAATGCATAATACAAGAATAAGCAACGACATGTTGAATGTTACTAAACGAATGTTTCTTGTTCTGGTTTT